TTAGTGTTTGGTAGATTATTTCTCTGTTGTAACAATGCTTCTTGGCAATAAATGTTATACCGTTGGAAAGCCTGTTTATTTACCTTTCAAACAGTGCCCCATTTGTAAGGAACATGCATTTGTGGGATGAGCAGCACAGCTGAGTATGTGGGTTGCGCCCATGAAAAATTTGCCAAATCTTCTTTGCCAATGCCAAACAGCTTATTCTGCTGTCGCTATTGACTCTTGTTTGGTGTTGTTTGGTGGATTGGATGATTGAAGTCTATCAGTAACAAGGAAGAAACAAGACATATTGGCAATTTTACAATTTATTTATTTAAACAGGAGCCTCAGTAGCGTGTGGAAGAACCATACACAGCCACAACAGCCTGGCACCTCCTCCTCATGCTGGTCACCAGCCTGCTCACACACTGCTGTGGGATGGCATTCCACTCCTAAAGCAGGATTTGTCGCAAGTCAGCCAACGTGGTTGTGTTGGTCACTCTGGCACAAACAGCTGGTCCCACAAGTGTTCACTTGGGTTGAGGTCAGGACTGTTGGCAGGCCATTCCATCCTCTCTACTCCCAAATTCTGGAGGTAGTCTCTGATAAACCCCGCTCTGTGGGGGCGAGCGTCTTCATCTTAGAGGATGGAGTTTGGTCCCAGACTGTGGAGAAATGGGATTGCCACTGGTTGCAGAATCTCATCTCGATATCTCTCTGCATTGAGATTGCCTCCAATGAAGACAAGCCTCGTTTTTCCAGTGATGGAGATGCCACCCCACACCATCACACTGCCTCCACCAAAAGGTGTTACTCTATCGGTGCAGCAATCAGCATAGCGTTCTCCCCGTCTTCTCCACACTTTGACCCTACGATCCAACTTCCTTGGACAGAATCTGGACTCATCGCTGAACATAACGTTCCTCCACATGTTCAGGTTCCAGTGCAGGTGTTGCCGACACCAGCGCAAACGGGCCAGCAACAGCAGAATAAGCTGTTTGGCATTGGCAGAGAAGATTTGGCAAATTTTTCATGGGCGCAACCCACATACTCAGCTGTGCTGCTCATCCCAGAAATGCATGTTCCTTACAAATGGGGCACCATTTAAAAGGTAAATAAACAGGCTTTCCAACGGTATAAAATTCATTGCCAAGAAGCATTGTTACAACAGAGAAATAATCTACCAAACACTAATTTCCGAACTTTTTGTTCGATGTTTAGTTATGCACAAAACAGAAAGCTTGACAGGCATAGCAACAGTAACTAACCCAGTTAGTGAATTCAGTTCGGTCAACCTGTAAATTTGTTAATTTTGCAATAATACTTTATTTTACTGGAAAATTTAAATGGATTGTTTGGAAGTTGTAATTTGTTGGTAATTTCAACCCGAAATAGAGAACAATGAAACATTTGACTGAAATAAACATTTGTTGTTTTGTAAGTAGATAAAGGATTTGTGAAGTGGTGACTTTCCGAGAAAAACAGCAGACGCGTAGCTATAAAGTGAGGGAGCAGGAAGAAGAGAGGTGGTGTTGTGTGGTCTCTGCTCTCATATCGTCGTGGCTCCATTCCAGCGGCCTCAGAAAGGTCACACTCAACCGTTTGATAAACTGGTCACAATGGGAGAGAGCGAGCAAAGGCAGTAGGTTAAGGAGAGGGAAAAGAGAAGGAGAGGAGAAAAACAAGTTTGAATGTTTGGTGATATTTGTTGGACATCTGGTTGAGATCTCACATTACAGATGTTTCTGATATTCTGTCTGTGCATGCCTCCTCAGACGATGACAGTCCACAGACACATTTAAAAATGACTGTAATGTGTAATGAATCAGTGTATCTACACCTCATCTGACCTGGTCTGGTTTGATCTCCTTCATGTCGAGAGGACAATGTATGTTACCAAGTTCAAAGATACAAAAATGTCTTTTTTGTAAGTAGTGACTCCGACACTCTGGGGTCACACACACAAACACACACTTTGTCAGCTGGGAGCACCTCTCACTGGCATCTGGGCTTTGTTTCTTTTGGGTGTCAGATAACACAGATTGTGCTGAACGACTGCCACGAGAGAGGAGAGAGACAACATTAGAGGGCAAATGAGGTTGGAGCGAGACGGAGAGGGAAAAGACAGTGAGATGTTGTGTGTTGATTCGTTAAAGACCTAAGCCCTGACAGACTTTGGTCAGTTACATCATCAGCTATATCCTTCTATCTAACTTCACATTAAATTAGGAAACGTAAAGAGTGTTATTTAATGAAAAAAACAAAACAACCACTGTAAATCTGACCAATCTGCCACTTTTAACATGGCAGTACCTCAGTTAGGTGATGTAGTGTCAATGGAAACTCTATTTAAAGTGTTCTTCTGCACTCCAGTGTTGGCGGACTGATGTGATCGTGTACTGTAGCAGTGTTACTGTACTAACCCAGCCCTGTGTGTGCTGATGTGTCACAATGTATTTGTGTCCTGTGTTTTATGGCTGGTGTGTGTGCCCTCAAACATAAAAGGCCAGTTTAAAGTACAATCTGTCCAGCATTAGCCTCTCCGTGTTAGGTGGATCAAACTGTCATCAGGAGTACAGGGACACAATACACTGTGCTGTTTTACTCACTGTACTGTAAGTCCAGATACACAATGTACAAATTCCAGCACAAGTAATGGTACACTGTGAAGTTTTTTTAACCTGTAGTAGAGCTATAGACCAAACAATCCCACTTCCAACTCATCATGTACCAACCCTCGGTCAGTGGCCCCACTTGTCAAAACTATGGCGCTCTATATACCACTCTAGCATCACTTTAGCATGTGTCAGTTTTCCATGTGTTATACACTAATTCAGTGGCGGGCCGTGCATTCTCTACCTGGGCGTTCTGTGCCGTCTTACTACAGTTGAACCACCACAGCTACGGGTTATTGTTTGTTTCGTGTAAACACCTCATATTCACATAACACTGCAAAATTTGACAAGTGAAATAAAATGTTACATGAAGCTCAACACCTACCCACCTTCATGTAACATTTTATTTCACTTGTCAAATTTTGCAGTGTTATGTGAATATGAGGTGTTTACACGAAACAATACACTAACTGCAGAGTGCAGATGCATGAATACGCGCATGACGGGATGCTTCGTCATTAACGGACAATGCATATAGTAAAATCAATGTAATTAACACAATGACAAGAACAAACTCACAAGAACCATTCACATATATTTACAACAAAGCATGACAAAACAATCCAGCAACACTGCGGCACTAAAACACCGCACACTCAAGAGCACGGGCCATTCAAATATTATTTACATCAGAGGGAACGATATTAACTATATAATAAAAACAACACGATAGACAAATTAACACAACGCTACTGCAGATGTAAAAACACAAAAGCAGTTCACTTACCAAATGCTGTTCATTATTTACAGACAAAGTCCATCCTCCTGTCTTTGTTTACAAACAGTTCAATGTACAGTACATCCGTGCGTTTCAGTTCCAGCAAGAGGTCTCTGGAATATGTTTTGATGCGTTTGAGGGCTGAAAATGTCCACTCGACAGAGGCAGTCGATGTTGGGATAGTCACCGCCAAACATGCCACTGCGTAAAGTTGACACAGCAAGGCCGAGATCCTCCTTGTGGTACTGGCACCGCAGTGGCTAGTCTGTGGCAAGCGTCAGTCAGGTGTCACAACAGCGGCAAGCGAGCTGCACTCATTCGGCACCTGTCAAGAAGCTGCCGAGCTGAGCGGGTGGAGCCACATTTTCCTTATACTTGCTGGGTCAAGGCTGCTAGCTGTGGGGTTAGCCGACCCTTTGATACGATTTCCCGCTTTTCCTGAAATGTCCTCCTCAAGAAAGGCTTTGTCAGTAACTCCGCCACCAAATCGGTTTCTCCTCCTCCTTCAGCCATTGCGTGTTAAAAAAACACAGCTAGGTAAAATAAAAAGAATCTACATCTAGCAAAACGCTAAAAATGTTATGTCAATGTCATAACTTCTTACATATCTTTCAACCTGAACTCTTACTAAATACTAAAATCTGCTAGCTAGCTTTCTATTTGACAAAAGTCACGCTGGCCCACTGACCAATCACGGCGCACGTTAATGCTGCGCTGCACGTTAATGCAGACGTACTTAGCAGGCTACCTCGATACCACTGGCACATCAAAGAATACGCCCAACATGTCAAACTAAACATCTGATTGGTTGAAGACTATGACAATCAACAATATCCTCGGGCCTCTCTTCTATAGAGACAGCATAGAGGTGAAATCTGATTGGATAAAAGCTCTCCTTAAAACAAGCTGTGCTGGAAGCAGAGCTGCAGGCTGGAAGCAGAGCAACAGAGGAAGACAGTAGCTGTGCTTTGAGAAAATAAGCTAATGGGAAAAATAATTATAATACATCTAGTGTATTTGTGAAAAATTATTAAATTATAAAATAGCTATAACTTTGTGATTCTGTTTAGGCCAGCAGAGACGGCCTACCACTGCACTAATTACATGGATACACTGCCTTTACAAAATAAACTTCAACATGTTTATTAGACCTCAAAGATGAAAACAACGCATACATTGTCTCTTTACAAGAAAACTCCACAGAGCACCTTTTGTTTTAGAAAAGATTCACCTCTAGTCAACTTTTTACTTCTCAGGAAACCCCGATATGCACTGTAGCTGTGTATGTTTTTGTTTTCTTTTACCAGTAATTCTTCCAATAAATTTGGGCAGGTTTCTAATTCCCATCATGATTCCATCTCCGTTTCTAATCAGTTCCTCATCTATCAGCTGCTCAGATTATCCTCGTTCAGCACATCATTTAATCAGCGATCTGAGTGCTTCCATCATTTCACAATGTGGATTTGTGAAATTACTCCTCGAAGGACTGTTTCATTCCATTTAATTGAAACTGAAATGGCATCATCATGCAACACACTGGAAGAGAAAGGTCAAACAGTATTCTGCATGATGAAATAATAGTGTAACCTTAGATGTGTGTGTGTGTTTTGGCGTGGTGATTCCAGGTTGCTCTCCAGGATGGCAGGGATGAAGGAGCAGCAGTTCACGGAGGAGAAGCCCCTGCTGCCGGAGCAGCGCGGTGTGGACTCAGACATGGTCAGTCCACCTGGTTTATTTACCGCGCTTGTCCTCTGTGTACGTACCCCTGATCCGGGTGCTGGTTGGTCTGTGACAGGACGAGCCACTCGGAAAGAATTATGACAAAGATGTTTGTGCTCATTAGCCGCGATGGCTCATAGACATAGACTATAGACAATGTGCTTGTTTGAGGAGGAAATTAATGATCTCCATCTGACCTTGACTCTTTGATAACAACACTATGAAAAAATAAAAGCTCATGTAAGCTGAGAGAGAGCGCCGGAGAACAGAGAAGGGAGGCAAAAACAGCGGAGAATAGGCAGAAGGCGGTTACAAAAAGGCCACTTATTCATTACCTAAGCAACAGGTTAAACGGCTGCTGAATCAGGGGCTCTTATTAAATGTTTGAGAGCCACTCCAGATGATGGAAATGGTGGAGATGAACCAGATCAGCTTGACAGAAAAAAGGACATTAAAAGGCAAAATGTATGCCTGAAAAAAACTCACTTGTTGGGCCAATTATGCTAAGGCCACTTTTATTATTGTGGAGCACAAACAGGCGGACAAAAAATCATTACTGCTAAGAATAGCATTAAAATAATATATTGAACAAACCATAAACAAGAGTGGAATGTTCTTCTGCTCCTGACAAGCCTCATGTTTCTGCTGGAGAAATCAATGTGACTAAACCTGTTAGCCATGACTCACCTGGCCAGTGTGTCATAAATGAAACAGTGCAGTTGCTCAGGTTTTTATTTTAATGCTATTTTGCATTCATAAGATGTCTTCTTTCAGACTAGTGGAAAGTAAACACCCAACATACACATTTAGCGGTTTATTTCATTCCTTTGTCTATTTGAGTCTATAGATTTCTCCGAAATTCATCAAAAGTTACTATTAGATAATGCTACACTTGCATATATAAACAATAACAACATATCAGAAAACTTAAAAAAAATATATATTGTAATAATGGAAGTTATCAACTTAAGAAGTGTCATGGTGATATCTATTAGTTATTTTTTACTCGATTCACCTGTAGTGTCTTCAAAATGTCTATAATTTCAACAAAACATGAACCTGAAACGTCTCTTTAAAGGACGTTTTCTCTAAATACATTTTTTTCTCAGACTCAGACCCATAAATCTCCACTTCAGTAGCTCTTACATACACCAAACTTTACACTTTCATTCCTCTCTATGTTCTGAAGGTTTCTACAGATGTGTGTTTGTTCATATATCAATCATAGCCTGATTTATAGAACATTGTATTACTAAAAGCATTTTAATGGCTGTTGACAGTATTTTCTGATTTATGGAATGATACAAAGACATATCCAAATCTCCTCTGTAAACACCTTGACTCTATTATGTCAACAAAATGAAACAAGAATTCTGAAACTGGCTTTATCCAATGTTCAGATTTCTGTTCTGGAAATGTATGAAAATTAGCACATATTTAATAAGATAATACCTTGTTTGCTCATTTATACTTTAAATTTCAGAAAACTTGTAATACAAAAAAGAATTGTCTTAATCTAAGTAATCAATTGGAGAAGTTTCATGGTGATGTCTATTAGTTAAAACCTTCCCCTATTCATCTGTAGTGTCTCCCCTCAATAGAAGTATCCTAAACATACTGTGCATCAATATGATTGACTCATTCTGCCATCAATCAGCTCATCGAGCAAAAGGTCATTAGGCCTGCTCATTACGACAAGCTGCATCGATCCAGTTACATGTTTGGGTGACTCAACGGGCCGCTTGTTTTATCATTCTTTCGAAGACGACTTCAGCTGCCTCTCTTCTCTCCCAGCTCATCTAAAGTCTGTAGCTCTGGTGTTGTTACTGAGTGATCAACTCCTGGCACAAAACGCTGGTAAAGCTCAGGTCTGACTCAGTGAGTCAAGTTGGACGAATGCTGCATTTAGTTCACACAGGCATAACAGACGTTTTTATTCAGTGAAACTAATTTGAAGCTGATTAGAAGCTTTAAGAAAATAAACTGATGCCTATGCATTTTAATTGTCCATATACTCTATACAGTATATGAACACATGATGAACATCCATTTTGGTCATTTTGTTTTAAACATAACCATCATTCCTGATATAGCTTCTGCCTTTTGCATGAAAAAGTCCAATAATGCAGACGATTTAAAGGTACCCTAAGTCACTTGTATGGAGCAATGTTTTTACAGGTACTTTTCTCTGTATCAAGCACACATAGTGTTGGTTTCTTGAAATGTTGCTGCTTGTCAGTTGGTTGTGGTAAGACCTCATCGTGTCACAGATGCTACCATTACCACTGCGGTAACATGAGTTGCCATGCGCAGAATATATACATTCTCATATTCACAAAAGAACACAGAAAGAACTGGAAGGAGAACATGTATAGGTTTCTTTCAGGACCTCCACCTCGGCCAGAGGCCATTCGTAAGAGACGACATTGGACTTCTTTAGGATTTATCTGACAACCCGTTAGCATAATAAAACATACAACAGGCCTAATATAAGGAGTACAACACGTTCATAAAAGAATAGAGAAAAAAAAAGATCTTTCAGGACCTTGGCCTCAGTCAGAGCTATCCTTAACTTAATGACACCACTTTAGGTGCAACAAATTCAAATGTTTTTTTGACTTTATAATCTTAAAGAATATAAAACATTTTCTTTATTTTTATTTTGTTGAAAAAAATAATATCCAAGTTTCTTTCTTGTACATTTGCAACTTTGATCTCAGAGTTTTTTCTATCAATATTACGCCGGCTCCATAATTTTATGTTTTTTACCTATATGGGCACTAATACACCATCATAGATTCCAGTATTTCTATATGAATTAATTTCAATTGGATTACCAAATGAATAATTAATGACTCAGTATTTCTCCACAAGGATGTTATTTCTTGCATTATAGAGTTTAGACTGTCACGTTGGGAAACTTACTTAAAGAAATTGCACATGAAAAGTCAAACCAAGCAAAAGACTTTTGTTGTCTGGTCAGTTTGTGGAGACCTTGGACTTATGACCTCAGTACATTTTAACATCCTGGTTACGGCCCTGAACATACCAACTACGACCTTTATGCAACTTGTATTTACAGTGTTTCCATGTGACCTTAATGCAGCATATTCCTGGTTTAGAGTTGCATGTGCATGGTTTACACCTGTTCCTGTTTTTCAAAATAAGGTTGCAGGTCTTGACCTCTCTGGTGATGCTGGAGCAGAAATGAAGCAGAGTGAGGCCAGAAGTGTCTTTGGAGCTTTAAGTCCTAAAGTGCATCACATTTTTATGTCTACCGTATGTTGTTGCTGCCCCCCCCCCCCCGACCCCCCGTTTGTTACCCAATAACCACCTTGTGTTTGTTGTTTCGCAATACAGCAGGATAAAGGAGATGAGGCATCGGGGGGGTTACCGTGCCCCGCAAGCCCGGTGCCCCTTAACCACCCCCCTCCCCCCAGCCGCCCCACTCACCGCTGGCATGTCATCGCGCGACACTGGCTCCGCCAGACGCGCCGTCGGGCCAGTGGGGTCCTCCCGGTAACTACCAGAACAAACAGAATCATCTACCTGCCAGCACACTGAATGTAACACACACATGGTAACCACTGGTAACCATTGGTGGAAAACACCCACTGTCTGCACTGTGGTTAAGAAAATGTTGGAAAAACATGTTATTACTGTTGTTATAGCATACACGAGACTCGCAGTGGTGGAAGTAGTAGTCAGGGAGAAAGCTAGGTTTACTTAAAGGGGCAAAGTGTAAGATGTGGCCAGAATTTTAGTTTGAAACATAAAAAATTAACAAACATTATCACCGGAATGTGAAGAGGTTACAGTGTTGATGTCATGTCTGAGACGTCTAGGTATATCTACTGAAATGAGCATGCTAACCAGCTAGCTCTGGCCTATCCTGTCTGGTAATACACCTTAATCACTGTAGCTTTCAGTCTGTACTCAGTCCAGCATGAGAGGAAGTGGAGCTGCCCCGATGCATGTTAATACATCCATGATTCGTGTATATTGTTTGTTCGTTGGATTATATCCAAAATGGCAGAAACGTCTCTCGCAGGAGACAGAACTTCTGTTATCCGTTAGCTCAACTTCAGCCAGTGCAAACACCAGTGTCCAAGGTCCCTATCCAAACGTACACGGACTGTACAGCCCCGGTTAGCGTCACAGTAAACACAAAGACTGCTAACGTAAACTAAAGCCCAACGCCACATGTGAATCATAAGATCTCTCAGAGTTTTAGTAGTTTGGTTGAATTTTGTGTAGCCCTGCTGTTAGTTACCAGTTTACTTTTTTTTAAATGTAGATTGTGTAAACCCAGCAGTCGAGGTAAAATGCTGACCCCCATGTGTTTGGAGCAGGTGGCCAGATCTTACACATTGCCTCTTTGGGTAAAAACAGCAATACACACACAAAAAAAAAAAAAAAACTTAAATTTTGCATACTTAGTATTAAAAGTTAAGTACTCCTTACTATATGCAGTATAAACTGTATCCCATTTTTTTTATCTGATCATATGTATATTTATATAAAATCTTAATCTGCATAGTTACTTTAGTAGAACAGAGAGAAAGAGAAGAGTGCCACCTGCTGGTCCGACCACTGTACTGTCACCATAACATCTTTCCTCTGAAAAGAAGGAGCCATTTGCATGAACTCCACAGGAACTGAGGTGCCCTTTGAGTTTCTGTTGAGATGAGTTTATCAGAGAAGTAAACAGCTCATTCAATAGTATTTGACGTTTTCCCATTCTTCTTAAAGGGCAGCTTCAGGTCCTGTGGTCCTGTTGACCTTTCTTTCTCTTTAGGTGTGTCCCTGATCTGACTTTGTCCACTCCTACCCTTAACAACTTTGTATGTGACTTCCCCCCCCCAACACACCTTAATCCACAACTATTCCTTTTCACTTCCTCTGTGTCATCTTTAATCCTGTCATGTGTTTTTTTTTCAGAAATAATATCAATAATATTGTGTGCATGTTTAACAATGAAGCAGTGTGACAACCATCTGTTCCGATTGGCGTCTAACCTCATGTGCATGTCCTTCATTTTCTTCGGTCCAGATGTCCAGATGTTCCTGTTCTGCTCCTGGCTTTACGGAAGCAGCAGAGCAGGAATAAGCTCTTAGATGAGCATGTGCTGAAATAACACAGGTTGGGATCAGTGAACTTTCACTGTCGTATTGAAAAATGACAAATTAAAAACACGTTAAATGATCTAAGTTGTTGCTCTGATGCATGTGTCATTTTCCTACACAGCAGTGTGCATGTAATAAGGGATGAAAAACCTGTATTATGTCAATGCATCTCTTCTCGAATGAAGAGTAAAGACCAGATTCCTCAAAAAATGAGCACTGCACAGCCCTGTGTCCTACAAATGACATTCCCGTACAACAAAACCGCTTTGGGAATTTAAAAGGAAACATATTTTTGTCGTGGATCACTTTTGCCTTTGACGTATTACAAATAAATTCCAATGAGTCCACTTAGGGAGGAGGTCGGGGTAGTGGATGAGTCAAAAAATAAAAATAAAAGTAAAATTTTGTGTAATTTTTAACATTAAAAAATTTGTGTTTCAAACTGCGACCGTAATCCAGGAGAAAATATGTTTCCCTCTAAACGAGTGCAATTTAGTTGCATGGGAAAGTCATTGTGGAGGAGACGGGGTCACATTGCGAGATTAAAAATATTTTCTTCACGACTTGTATCCCAAAAAATAATTTTGCTGGACATGAAATTGTGTTTAAAACACCGGGAAGCTGTGACTGTCGCTGGCACAGCTGTCCCCTCTCTTGAAGCCGGCTTGTCATCAATCAGTGTCTGTTACTTTTTTAATCTGTTTTGTCAGTCACGGAGTCAGACTGGCTCGACACTGTGGCCGAATGACAAAAACGTCATCTTTATGACCCAGCTCATCTTTGTTTACAGACGAAGATGACTGTTGCTGTGTTTGCGTGTGTGTGTGTGTAGGGGGGATCTGGTTGCTGTGCTCTCTCTCATCACATCTATTTAAAAAAAATCACCATCTTCTCTTACTGCTGATGTGTTCCCAGTCTCCCACATGCACTTAAGTGAATATTTACTGTCTCTCTAGAATAACAGGTGTATTTGGCCCAAACCAAAGAAGTACGGATGTGTTAAAGCACTGCTCCTAAAGGGGCACTGCGCCAATTTTACCCTTCAGCATCAGTTTGCTAGCCATAAAGAAAGTACTACTTAGCATTTACAGACAGCTGAATCACAATCTTCTGTGGCTCTGGGGGGAGCGTTCCAAAGTCTGACAAAATAACCCAGATGATGTCATAATGATGTCACCAGGGTTATCTCAGCTTGGGCTTTGAAAAAACACAAACATTTTTAACAGAAAGCCTGTGTTACAAACTGGTGTTGTGAAATTTAAAAGGGCCCGATGAAAGCCACTATCTAAACTGCATTATGGGAAATGCAGGACCCAGTATCCCTTGTTAAAACACCCAACCTTATGCAGTGCATTGCTAAATTGTTGGAATATCTTTGAATGAATTCAAACCGAAGATGGACGACATGCCAGCTCCCCAAAAGTGAAGCCACAACATCCCTGGTCGCTGGCTGCATTATAGCACATAAGTCCCGCCCCCTCCACGTTAGCGACTGGGACATGGGCTAAACTAAAAAATTAAAATGCACATCAAATAATGTTTTCCTGAAGATGGCCACTCTCATTTTAGGTAGTTCTTATCACGCCGATGTATGTTCAAGTTTTTAATTAGTTATTTGATGCTATAAAAAGAGCGTGTGACGTTATGATTGATTTCAAATTGTACGAGAAAGGAGATGCAACTTTAACTTACAAGAGTCTGTGTAATGGAACATGTGTCATTTATTTTTACAGATATTATGGTTAGTTCTTTCTAGCCAAACAGCCACCGTTGTGCTAAGGTAGCAGCTAGGTGGCTCACGCTAAGAAGCCGTCTGTAGTCAAGATTGACTCGGACGGGTGAGTTCAAATGACGTCAAAACCTCAAGATGGTTGACATCACTTTTTTACATAGGAAGGAAGTGGAGACGAGTCGTCCATCTATATTTACAGTCTATGACTCAAACACAACCAATACGATTTGACTACCAAAATCGTGGCTTTTTGTTCCTATTAAGGGAGTAATTAATGCTAAATTTCATTTATAACATACATTTCTGTGTATGTTCAGAGACAGTAGAACATGATCACTGTACCGCTAAAGTGCTTCTGGAAAACAGTGTTTTTCTGTGTCGGTTTGGACCCACAGTGCACAGCTCATGCTGCTCCTCTATGAGTTTAGCTGGCCTTCAGCTCCAACAATGGATGCACAGTCAGACTCACTTATCTCTTTCCTATTTTAATTTGTTTCTCTCTGTCTTTCGTCTCTGCTTGTCTCTCTGTGCAGGAAAGCTGTGAACAGCTGATGCCGGCAGGGGATTGGAAGGTATAAGCCCATGTGTGTGTTGCTCTCTCTCTCTTTTCTTATCAGTGCGTCTTTTGTGTTGTCGTCTGTCTATCATCCCTCATCTTCTTTTGTTTGCCAACTCTTTGTGCTCGCTCACTCGGGTAAACAGCCCGAGTCAACAGAGACGTGGAAAAGGAGGGGAGGTGGAAGATGGATATCTATAAATTTACAAGGCTAAATACAACAACGATGATAATAACTAAGATGGAAGCGCTACATTAGCTATTGCTCCACTGTGGGCCCCGGGTTTGAATCCTTTAACCAGTTGAGGCCTCTATGTGTGGAGCTTACATGTTCTCCTTGTGCTGGATCCAAAGACAGGTTGGTTAGGAACAGGTTACTCTGATATGATGAAAGTGTCTGATTAATAGCAATAAATCTGAGATTTCTACCCTGAGATTAAAAGCTTTCAAAGGTTAATTTGTATTTATTTGGGACTAGTCTTTACACACTGTCAAGATGCGCCACATTTCAGCTTTAAAATGTTTGTTGTCTGTTGTCTGTTTATTGTTTATGTCTGTTTTAAAAACAAAAGGCAATATCTACCCTGGATGTATGGAGCAACACAAATGCTTCAAAAGAAAGCTATAAGAATTGTAAATCGATTGGATAAATATGCAGAGTGAAATTGCTTACTTACATGCTTTAAAATGCTGGGGGAGCCAGCATGAATTTAGGGGAATGGGTATGTTTAAAAAGCCACGGTAAGGACACATTTAACGAATAGTTGTATATCTTGCAAAGTGGTTCACCTATTGAATGGTTCTGACAATTGAAATTAATTGAGGTGGTAAACACATATAAATCAAAGGTATTTTTATTATTGTTTCTGTTTTATTTTTTGTAATACCTCAACCTAGTACTGAAAGGGTTACTTGTTGGAATATGTTACGTAAAAAGGGTATTAAGATAAGCTTAAGCTTCAGCCTGCATATTTCCAGTCAATAGAATTTGTTTTCCCTTTAAATTCATGCCTTTGTGACGGTGCAGGGAACACTAGAACAGTGCTTAGGGCCTAATTGTAGAGAGTTGAGGAGGCAGCAGGATGAAGTCATTTACTCAGGTAGATAAGTTTAAATGGGCAGAAGGTCCAGCAAACAGATTACAGGTAAATAGGTTACAGGAAAAAAAGAGGCAACAGAACACCATATAACTACGAGCGCCAAACTGACAAAGAAGCAGTTATATGCAGTGAATGACTGATCGGGGAAGGGAGAACAGGTGAGTGCAGGGCTATTGAGGGACAGGTGAAACTAATCAGTCCAGGGCAGACATCCAAAACAGGCGGGAAAACACTCAAAGGCAGGACGATAAGAGATCTGAAACTAGAGGAGAGAGGAGTGTAAGAAAAAGAAACAGAAACCACTAAGCATGAATTATATGAATGAAAAACATAGCAGGGCAGATATGAAAGCCTTATTGTTTTACATATTTCAACACATGACAAAATTACAGGTCTGCATACATAGAGGGATGTGAAATTGAGTTGTTTTGTTTTTTTGTACAATAATAATAATACAATACCATACTATACTAAACTATATACTATATATTAGTGCTAGGCAAGTTAACGCATTATTATCGCGTTAACGCCTTAATGAATTAACGCCGACAATTATATTATCGCGCGTTAACGCAGTTTTGTTTATTTTTATTATTAAGCTACATTTTTAACACAAGAACCAGGCAGCAATCAGTGAACAGCTGTGTTTGTGTGGCGTCACTTCCTTCTCCCCCCCGGCTCCGGAACCCCTCCTACACTCAGTCACCATCGTTCACTCTTGTGAACACACACACACGAGCGCGAGCGTCTCGTTACAGGATCAAACGTGACTGTTGTGAAGTGGAGCTTCTAGTGAGGACCAAGACACGTCTTGTTTGAACGGAATACTTTACTGTCTGAACTGCAGTATTACAGTGTTAGAGTGAACAGAACATGCTCTTGACATCTTGACATGTGGTTTTCTACGTTTCATCAAAATTGTTAGCGAACACGTACCATTGTACTTCCTGTCTGTTCAAACTAAAAGCACTTCCGTTTTCATGCTCTTCACAATAAAAGTAAATCATGCAATCAAACAATTTACAACAGTGACAATATTAAAATACATATTGTCGAGTTTTTAAAGTGTTTTGTTTGTAATATGTATAATAAGCATCATTTAGTTATCGCTACTGAGAATTTAACAAACAAAAAAAAGAAGTAGATAGGTTTGCAGTTTTCAAGGTGTACAGTATATTTCAAATATCATCTCTTACACACATGAAAATAAAGTTATGGACATCGGCTGAATATCTATGATCAGAATTATTATAACTATTTTAACTGCTACTGTGTAAAGGGAATACTGCTGTTAAAAATAACCTTATTTGTTTAAAGTGTTTGCAAACCAAATGTTATTGACCTTTTGTTCATATAGCAGTACTTTAAAATAAAAGTGCGCAATACACTACTTTTGAATTAATTATTGAACTTTGCGCATAACAATGCGATTAATCGCGATTAATTGAAAAAAAATCATGCGATTAAAAATATGAATCGTTGCCCAGCACTACTATATATATATACAGTATATATACTATATACCAAAATACTGTACTATACCAGACTATACTATTCCACATTAATACTTGTATATCATGCTATATTATAATATATTTTAGTATACCATAGTATAATATAATGCTAAACTATACTACCGTACTGTACTATATTAGAATCAGAATCAGAACCGTTTAATTGCCAAAGTATGTTGCACATACAAGGAATTTGACTTGGTGGATGGTGCATAACAATAAACAATCAACACAGTGCAAAATAGAAGACATGATTTAAAAATAGAAAGAAACATTGAAATTTACAATAAAATATACAAATATGGTAAATAAACAATACATTATACAATAATATATAATACCAAACCATACTATACTATATCTTTGATTTTGACACCTTAAGCTCAGCTTTGCTGCATGTCATTACTTTAAACTGTAGGCCACGTAGTCAGGTTAAGCTAATATATCTCATACTTAGCTATACTTCATGAATTTTAATTACGCCTAACACTTAGGCTGAGAGCATTGCATATGAATTGAGCAGTATTTTTGACATTGGATAACTGCTGGTGTGCATGCAAAAGGGTTGTTGCTACCTACTGTAAGCTAGCACCTACCTTGCAAAACGTTGCTACTGTGTATAAAACCTGACCAACTGCTCCTTGGACAGGAGCTAATACAGGCTAATGCTAGGAACCGAACATGAAACTGCAAATAACTGAAGTAAAGGAGTGGCTGATGAAAAAAGTAATTTAGTGAACTGAAGAGAGCCAGAATCTGATCATGACGGATAATAAAAACTGCCTTCTATAGGTGTGCCACTCCCAGGCCTCTGGCATTGTGCATGCTACCTCACTGGTGTACTGACATCAAATACTGTAGTAATGCTGTTTCACCATACGTGCTTTACACCAGTTTTAAACTCGGCTTAGCAAACTAGAGCACCTGAACTCTAAAATTCATAAACTTTCATGAAACCATTACACCATCTGTTTGAGAAGTCTTGTGTTTTTTCCTGTTTTTTGAGTTGAGCTTCACACATGTAACAACGCTGCTGGTTTATTTTAGTCAGACGTGTGCTAAGTGTCAGACAGGAGTGATGAGACTTTTCTCACCAAACACCTCTCTTTCGCACTTGAACCTGACACTTCAAGGTCTCAAAAAACATCGCTGCATTTGAAGAGCAGTGTTGTTTCTGCTTCTGCCTCAGATTCATCCGTTCAGTAATTAATACAAACATTGTCATTTTATCAAAACATGCCTATTTGAAATTACTATTTCATCTTTTTTTGTGTCAGGGAACTGCACACATAGAAGCATTATCAGTATAAACTGTGAGGAATAAAAGTCAAAATATTTTCCAAGAAGTAATTACGACACGTAGCTTGCAGTAGAACCACAAGTTGTCATTTTTACATTTCAACCTCATGTACAAATTAAACAAACTAAATACAATATGTTAATTAGTGGGCTGTAGTGGTATTGGTTGACATTTTTAGGACAGAGTCAAGCTGTGTTTCCCCCTGCTTCCAGTCTTTATGATATGCTATGCTAAGCTAAGCTAATCGCCTGTTGGCTCCAGCTCCATATTTTGTGCACAGAATTTGTGGTATTGATCTTAACTAACTCTCAGCAAGAAAGCGTATCATTTCTACAACATCTAAGTTTCTTTAAAAATACTTTGAGCCAGGAGACCGCTGTTCATGTCCCGAGTGAAATCAAAAGTAAAAGTTGCCTTAGGGCTTATGACGTAATGTTGTTACTCTTGTTTTGTTTTGTTGTTATTTATTCATGTTAGTTTCATTGTTAAGTTATATTGTTGTTAGTGCTGGGCAACGATTCAAATTTTTTATCGCGATTAATTGCATGATTTTTCTGCGATTAATCGCATTGTTATGCGCAAAATTCAATAATGAATTCAAAAGGAGTGTATTGTGCACTTTTATTTTAAAAGTACTGCTATATGAACGAAAGTGCAATAACATTTGGTTTGCAAACACTTTAAACAAATAAGGTGCTTTTTAACAGCAGTATTCCCTTTACACAGTAGCAGTTAAAATACAGTAATAATGATTCTGATAATAGATATTCAGCCGGTGTTCAGAACTTTATCTTCATGTGTGTAATAGATGCAATTTGAAATATACACCTATAAAACTGCAAACCTATCTACGTCATGTTTATTTTTAATTTTTTTTATGTTTGTTAAATTCTCAGTGGCGATAACTAAATGATATACTAATTATACATATTCCAAACAAAAACACTTTAAAAACTCTAAAAAAAATAATTTAAATGAATAATTTCTTTTTTGCTTTTTGGGGTATTTTGGTCAGACACATATGCAACGCAGATTACCGTAATATGTGTGGTATTTGTTCTGTACGTTGGTACATAGAGGGTGATAAGAAGCTGTACCTGGA